TTTCCAGGAAGAAGAATCTGTCAAACCAAAACAAGCAAAACGAAGAAAGAAAAACAATTCATCTGTAGAATCTGACAGCGATGAGTAACAGACCACCTCACCCCTCAACCAATGAACAACAGCCCCACCTTCCTTGAATCATGATGAATATCTTTAGATCTCCTAGACGCGCCCTCCAGTCAAACAGGCCCATTAGAAATGATTTATCCACAAGGGTGACTGATGGTGCTGTTTTTATTTGAAAAGATTGGTCACTATTGTAATACTGGTTAATATAATAAAATTATTGCTAGGCCGATTATAAAAACTGTCAAATATCTTGGTGTGACATAAGCTATATCTATGTTTTAATCCCTACAAATCGTTTCTTTTTTTAACTTAACTTTGTGTTTTGCTCCTATGTTATATCTATTTATTTGGCAACAATAAAGCACACACAAAAAGCAGTTTTTCTACTATGGTAGTACTACAATTTTTGTGAAATTTTGAAGAAACGTACGGTGTGCCATAGGTAAAATCTCTTCAAAAGTTCACAAAAGGCGTACAACAAGCTGCATGTATGACAGCATCACCTTTGCTTTTGACTACCAGACAAAATACACAAAAATCTGATCCTGCTGTTGTGTGCTTTGTTTATCGTTACCATATAGAGCATGCCTAATTCGCATAAACTTACCACAAATTTTAAAATATATTCAAAAAAATGTCTATCGCACAAGAAAAAGAACTCGGTACAAATTAAATGAGCAGAAATAACGTCATTTACATATCTACAAGCGACAGTAATAATAACCGGCCCTGGAGAGACCTTGGCGAGTTAAATATTGCGGATAATATTGACGAGATAAATATTGCCTACTCCCTTCGCTGCAACAAGCCGCAAGCACACGCTGTTTGTGTTGAATCAATACTGTATTTATCAACTGATTTGTGTTTTTCAGTTTCATATTCATTTGTCGATATCAAATCTGCGATGAAAGATGCTTTTTACTTACAAATTGAGTGTGACATCATCACCGATCAGGAAGAAAGGAGCCCAGTACTTGGGATCCCTGTGGCCTTCCTCTGCTCGGATATCTAGCATGGCTTTATGAAGGCTTACACTCGCACTATCCCCTCGAGTAAGATAACCGTAAAACTTCAGCATGAAACACAAAGTTATTGTATCGTCGATTGCCCACAATGACGCTACGACAGAACGAGCACCGGCCGCTAGGAAAGCTCGACTTAGTCCAACCATACCCTCAGCCCTGATCTCACCACGACCACTGTAACAACAGCTTAGCACTACAAGTTGAGCTTTGATTCCAATTTCTTGAACTTCCCTCATCGTCAACAGATAGTCATCCTCTTCTGGGATTCCTTGTCTTTCTGGTGAGACATTCGGTGCCAACGCTATTTCACCATTATCAGAGCTCCCGTGTGCAGCAATATGAATTACAGCTGATCCTTCTCGCAATTTGTGCAACACAGCGTTTTTGGTAGCTTGTTCTCCAGTCAGGGCGGCCTGACCCAATTTATAAGAAATAACCCTGACTTCGGTACCTGCTGAAGCTAAACGTGCAAACACTCGTTTCTTGCCCCTAAACATCACCTCTCCAACACTTGGATTTCCTACAATCAATGCTCCTTTTTGGCTGTGATGATCCACTGGGCATTCATTTAGAGCCTTTAATATTGCTATCGATGGTGCAAGTCGAATTCGTTTGGTGTCTGATAGATAATGTCCTGTATTGGGATCCCTGAGGGCAGCAAACGGTACTCTATACATTGGTCCATCGGGTACTATGACAATCTCGTCGTGTCGTACGTCTGATAGGACAGGACCAACTAAACAATTGTACAACGTTTCAAGTGGATGAGACGCTTTATCGAGGGTCTCTTCACTGGTACCATCATCACGTGACAGAGATTCAGAAGCTTTAGTAGTGACGTGATCTTTCGATGTAACGCAATCATCAAGTGATCTGTTTTCACAAGTCACGCTTTCTTGGATTTTCATCATTTCATATGCTCTTGAAACTGTAGCAGTAAAGAAACGTTTAATGGAGTTTTCATCACCATCTTTCTTTTCTTGAGTCAATATTTCTATGGCAGAATTAAATTGTTCCTTTTCAGTTTCTCTGAACATCAGTGAGTCTTTAGCTAAAACCCACACAGCCAAACTGTTGCTTAGTAAGCTGTAATGCAGTATCGAGAAGACATCTTTAAAGAAGATCGCCTCCACATCAGGATAGG